CATACTCGGAGCGTAGTTCGTTTTTTTCGATAAAACTCAATCCCGGATTCAGCTTCAGGGCTGGGGATGACGAGGTTTGTCACCGGGCTCATGCTCCCAGTCCCCGAGCGCCGTCCGGAGGGGAAAGAGCTCTTGCCGGCGCAGGCCACCCCCACGCCCAGCCAGCAGCAGCGGCAGCATTGGCAGCAGCGCCAGCAGCCACGCAGTCCCGGCTCCGGCCGCTCGCGGTCCACATGTCCCCAACTGCGGTCCCCGCTGCCCGAGCAGCTCGGCGCTGGAGGCTGAAGAGCGGGGACGTAACCGGACGCCCCCGGCAGCCCCTCCCCGGGGAGGGGGGAAGGCGGAGAGGGGCCGGGGCAGGGCCGGCCCGCGGGCTGGGCGCGCCTCAGGCGCTCACTGTCTGGGTAGGAGGGAGGGCGACTCGGCGCCCCTAGCGCTGGTCCCCCGGGGTGGTGGGCGCCCCCACGCAGGGAGCCCCGAAACCAGCTGGGCCCCCACCGGAGGCCGCTGCGGGGACGGGAGGTGGGAACAGACCACCGGGCCGGCCCCGCACGGTGTCCGGGGTCTGGGCAGAGTCGTGGGGAGGACGCAGGTGTGTCCCGGAGGAGGGAGCTATGTGCCCACCGTAGGCTGCCTGGTCGTGTGGGAGGGCAGACCCTCAGGGTCCGATTCTGGTGGGAAGAGGGGTCCAGGCCAGGAACACATTCCTCTCCCTCCATTCTTGCAGCTTTTCTTCCCCCATATATTTTTTTTATTGATGTCAGAGAGGAAGGGAGAAGGAGAGGGAAACATCAATGATGAGAGAGAATAATTGATCTGCTGCCTCCTTCACGCCCCACACTGGGAATTGAACTGTGACCTCCTGGTTCATAGGTTGGACTCAACCACTGAGCCACCCCCACAGGGCCCTTCTTGCAGCTTTATTGAGGAGGGATCCTGGGCTGCCCCATGTGGAAGTCCCGCCAGAAATGGGGTCCCACCCTCTGAGACAGAGCCACGAATGTATAACTTTATTCAGTGTTAGGCGGGGTGCCCAACCAGCCAAGGAGACCTCCCTGGGATGTGGGGGTCTGACCAGGTCTACGGAAGAGGCCGAGTTTCAGCAGGGGGCTGGAGAAGGGACATTCAGGAAAGTGGGGGACATTCTGCGGGTGGAGTAAAGGGCTGTCCCCCAGTGGTGAGTCTGAGAAAAGACTCTTCCAAGTAAAGCCTTTAATATCAAATCTAGGAATTTAAACTCAGAGAACTATGGAGAGTTCTTGACAACCGGACGTAAGTGTTGTCAGTGGGGTCCTAAATCCTGGTTGATTATTAATTTGGGTTGCAACTGGGCACTCAAAGGGGGAAAAATGGTTGAGAAAGGAAGAAAGGTGGAAATTGAGAAGAAACGAATCTAAGCAGCATTACAATGAAAGGAGTAAGCCCGGCTGGCATGGCTCAGTGGTTAAGTGTTGACCTTGAACCAAGAGGTCACAGTTTGATTCCTGGTCAGGGCACATGCCATGGTTGCGGGCTCCATCCCCACTGGGGGGTGTGCAGGAGGCGGCCTGTCAATGATTTGCTCTCATCGTTGATGTTTCTCTCTCTCTCTCCCCCTCCCTTCCTCTCTGAAATAAATAAAAATATTTTTTAAAGATAGAAAGGAGTAAGGCGTGATTGTACATTTAATATGCAGGGACAGGGAGAAAAGCTAGAAT